GTGTGTCTGTGTGTGTGTGCTTGTGCGGGTGAGTGCGCATCGCTGTGTGTGTTTGTGGGTCTCTGTGTGTGTGTGGAGTGTGTGTGTGTGTGTGTGTGTGTGTGTGTGTGTGTGTGTGTGTGTGTGTGTGTGTGTGTGTGTGTGTGTGTGTGTGTGTGTGTGGGTTGTGTGTGTGTGTGTGTGTGTGTGTGTGTGTGTGTGTGTGTGTGTGTGTGTGTGTGTGTGTGTGTGTGTGTGTGTGTGTGTGTGTGTGTGTGTGTGTGTGTGTGTGTGTGTGTGTGTGTGTGTGTGTGTGTGTGTGTGTGTGTGTGTTTGTGTGTGTGTGTGTGTTGTATGTGTGTGTGTGTGTGTGTGTGTGTGTGTGTGTGTGTGTGTGTGTGTGTGTGTGTGTGTGTGTGTGTGTGTGTGTGTGCGTCAGTGTGTTCTTGCCTTCAGCGCTGGCAGAACTGCTGTGCCCAGCAGCTTCAACGGCAGGGCCAAGTTCAGCTCCTGGCAAGGGAGCTTCCGGCAGACTTCTCGGTATCGAGACAAATGCAACACATGTTTGAAAAAGTCAAGCATCACGCATCCATCCCTGCTCCAACTCCACTTTCTCTACTCTTCCCCATAAACGGTAAAATGGAACCGTGAATGGAGATGTTCAGGGGTCGAAATCCCCCCTCCTTCCAAATTCCATTTTCATCGGGCTGAGGAGACGCGTCCTCGGGTCAGAAACACAGCTTCCGGCCCGTTCACTCCTCGCTCTCAATCTTCCCGTGGAACTCATGCCGCGTCGTGTGACGATCAGGCATGCGGTTGCAAATGAAGCCCTGACAAACGCAACGCTGCCCAACGCAAGCCCTTCCAAGTTGTTCAAGCTGCATGAAGCCCCCCCCAAGGACGTGCGACAAAACTATTGGAGGCACAAAGAATCCAGATGCGAACTCCTCAGAGTAGCCCAGCCTGGCCCTCTTTGAATACAGACGGCGCATAGGTGAATTCAAGCGAGATGCTGCCAAAAGCAGGCACCTCAGAATCGCAGCAACCCATCTCGCATGTGTGCTATGTAACATGGGCTCACTTTTCACATGTCTCATGCCGAAATCGACAAATGAAGCTTGCGACACCACAAACAACAGCTGGTACCAAGGACGGTGCCGTTCCCGCGAAGGGTGAAACACTGAGAGGCCTTTGTGCCTAGCTCGGGTCAGTCTTGTGTCTTAAAATTTTCTGTCGGACGCTACGCCCGCCTTCTCAACCGTCTCTGCTGGGGAGGATGCACCGGGCATGGTGCCCCTGTTGATTGTGCCTCAGGGCGCTGACAATATCTCAAAATGGCAAGGCTGCATGCAATATCTCACATGGCGCTCCACGTAGCAAACATTGAAGCACTAAGGGTCGCACCATCCCCTTCATGTCCCTGGCAAGTTGCTGCAATGTCCAACACATGCCAGCAGAGCGCATCCTGACTTGGGTCAAAAGCCCGTATCCGCAGTGAACATCCCAATTCCAACTAAAACAGGTTCTAAAATGGGTGGTGCACCTACCCCAAAATGGGATCCCATGGGTTTTGACCCACAGCCACTTGAACCTCCCATGCAACTCTCTTGGCCGCCTGAGACTTGGAAGTGTCAGGACTCGCGTTGTTGGGTTGTGCGGCGCGGCATCTCAAAACGTCGTGTAGAGTTTCCAACTGGCGGTGGCTAAAAAAAAGTACATAAATCACGCCTTGCTAAATGGAACCAAAGACTAAACCCTGCGTACTCTCCCGAAATCACACCTGTGACTCAAATGGAGGGAGAGTTGGCTTCATTCCTTCCAGCCTCTGGAGGCACCAGCCACGCCCCTTCCCCGCCTCAAGCACTGAGGCGCTAAAGCCGCAGGAAGTGGGCCCGTCGTTCACGAGCTCCACGCGGATCGACTGAGCGAGCCGCGAGCTGGCTCGGCTCGCATCGGCTGAGCCGTTTCCCACAAAGTGGTGCCGTGGATCGTGCAGAGGGACCGAACAAATGTGCAGAGAAGGGCATACATGTGCCAAGGGAGCTCTTTGCATGGCAAGGGAACCAAGGTCAGGAACCGGCGCTGTGCCCTCTCTGCAATCAAGCGGATTCGAATACATGCTCAGCTAATCCCTGAGTCTGGCCTTGGACAGGCCATGGTACAGGCTCCCAAAATCCAGGCTGTCTGAGCGCGGGCGGCTTCAAAACACAATCCAACTTGTGAGGCAAATGGTGCACAATTCATCACACCAAAACCCCCGGCCAAGAGGTCGCAGTTCAAAACAGGCCTAAGCACCTCTATCTTAGGCATACTACGCCTCAGCCAAGCTGCTTATCACCTGCCCATCTTTGTATACCTGGAGCGTCTGGTCAACGCACTCGGCATGAACCTCCAACGTCCTGGCGGCTCTAAGCGCATCGCCAGCTTGAGCTTTGTGCAGGAACCACTTTCGACCCATGTTGAAAAGCCGTACGCCAAGCTTGAAAGAACAAAAAAACGCGGAAGATATCAAAGAAGCACAAGCCACGACAATACCATGCTTCCTACCTCAGGCTCTACATTCCCTTCCGATGTTTGATGCGTGGTCGTTGGAGCTGCATATGCGCACGCTCCAAGTACCGTGAGCACGCATTGCAGTTGGACACGGCAGCAAAGAACGTGACCCGCAAAGTATTGACATCAGTCCACAAAAGAAATCAATTTATGAGGCTTCTGGCTTCAAAACTAACCTTTCTGACCCCTTGCTTGCGCAAGACTTGTCTTTTTAACCATGTTAGGAAAGCAGTGTTGCGTCACCTTCAAAGGACACAGAACAAAATATCATGCATTAGCTTCCAACAACCAACAAACTCGCCATGACTTTGGGGGGCCGTGTTCTTTTGGCCACAAAACCGACTGCCGTCCGGTCCTGCTCGACGGAACCAGAGAGCTCAAGCCCTGCATGTTGAGCTGCACCGCCTCGTGCACGGAGGTAGGCAGCCTCAGCAGGCGCAGGCTGGGCCAAATACCAAAAAAAAAAAACGGAAGAAAAGAAAAGGTTTGACTTGCTGGTGCGATAAGTAGGGAATGAGGGAATGAACTTGGGGATTCCCTTAAAGGAAACCACCAATTGGATGGTAAGGAGTCATACCACATGTCCTATCGCAGCAAGTTCACGGATCCAATGCCGCCAGGCTGCTCCTGGCTGAGCTCAATCTTCACCCTCTTCACATCCTCTGAGCTGCCAGCAGGCCCGATCTTGCCCATTGCAGGGTTGGGCTTCAGGTATCTTGAGGGAGAGAGGAACTCAAACCTTGGCTTGGCAGGTTGCCGAGATTCCAAAATGAAAGGCTGCTACAGTGGGAAATCCACCAGATCTTCAAAATCCTGTACACTGGACAAAAGCATGTCCTCACTGATGCACCTGCCCCAGATGAGATGCATCGCAGCCAAGTTTCGACGCAGCTCTGGAGCCCTCGTTGCGCCTGCAACAAGGCACAACATTCAAGCCGCACCGAGCTTGACACAGCAACGACAGATTGTGGATAAAGCACCCAGTCCCCGGCGCAAATCCCCAAATCGAAACACTCCAAGCGTGCGAAGCGATTGCCGGCAGGCGACAATATCACTTCCCTCTGATGGATGCGCTTCGTCACCTGAGTTTCAATTTGGCAAGTGGCAGCGAGATGTCCCAAGGGGAGCAACGAGTTTCTTCTGATTTTGCTGGAAAACCACGACCCCAAAACAAGAGAAGCCAAACCCAAAAGCCCTTGAAGTCCCGCGCCCGCGCGAGCCGAACGCCCGTAAGGCACAGGCCACTGTGCCAAAGTCCACCGTGCCGTCCACCGACACCACCGCGCAGGGAGCTCTGGCAACCAGCTCCACCTCATAGCGGAAGTCCTGCCAGAAACCGGCAAGCAACTCTCGGAGCAGACTTGCAGAGAAGGGGGCGATCGGGTACGTGAGGTAAGTGCAGCCTGGTGAGATACCCCACAAAACCTATAAGTCTCCGTTCAGTGGGTTATAACCAGGCGTACTAACCATTTACCTGACGCACCCAATTGCCGCTTTCAGGAATGAAGGGCATGAAGGCCGCATCCGTGGCCGAGAGTTATTCTTCAACACTTGCAGATTGAGAGTCCTCTGCAGTGATGACTAGCTTATCGACGAAGTCGTTGGCTTTTCTGGTGAGAAACTCCACATCTATGGACACAGACAGTCCAGGTGCAACACCGATCTCGTTCCTTACGATGGGCGTTGAGAGCAAAAGCGATCGGTACAGCACCGCTGCTTGTGTCATGTGAACATACACAAACACAGCTTGCCATAAGTCAAAGGTATTGCAAAGAATCCTGCAGAAGAAAAGAAGACCACAACCGACTGATTGGTGACGTGCTCATCTGCGCCAAGTCTCTCCGTGACTACTCGAAATTCTTGAGACCTTGGCACCTCGCAGCGGATGCGCTTGGCATAGGTGCTGAGATTCCTCACCACTAAAGTCTGAATGTACCTGGGCTGCAGAACTGCTCACAAAGCAGCAAAGATATTTAATCTGAAAGACAGCGTGGTGTCACTGTATGATCTAGAACATTTACCTCCTTAACCTGAGGAGGAAAGGAGCCAATCTGGGGCCGGTGCTTGATGTTGGCATCGATGTCGTCAAATTGGATGACAGAAGGTTCAATGCAGAGGTGCTTGCCATGTGGCACGATGGTCGCATTTCGCGAGCCTCTGATCATGGCGTCGCCCGGCTTCCGGGCCCTAACTAAGCTGAAAAAAGAAGTAGATGGCAGGAAACCTCCATCCGCAAAGGTCCCCTGCAGGCGAATGAGTAACTGCAACTAGGTTAGAGCTGGTAAAAGCATGCTCTCAAGTTAAACACAATACGTGTTGCAATGATCTTGATGATGTATGTTGCAGAAAAGTTGATCTCGCTTGCGCTGGTCAGCAAGTCCCAAGCCATCAATTTGCGGCATGACCGTGCACAAGAACAATCACGGAATGTGAATGTCAGCCTGTCAGGCTAGCATTAAGCGATGCGACGATCCTTTGAACAATCCGGTCTGCAAATGTCGACGTGTTGTCAGCGTAGCGTTGGAGTCGGTCAAAGACCGGTTGAGGGATTTGGGGTACGCTTGGTTTTGGGTGGATTTAGTGTGTGTTCAGGATTATATACAGGGCCGGCTTTGGGCTAGGCCTTGCGCTTGGTTCGAAGAATTTGGGATTCGTTCGGCTTGGTTGGCGTCGTGGTTGGGTTTATGGTTATGGAGACAACTCGATCTTCCTTGTATGCAAGGTTCCTCGGAACTTTGCCAAAAACCCAGCCCTTCAGAAAACGACACAACCCAAAACCCTAAGTCTTGCAAGAAAGCCGCAAACAACCCTCATGTTGTGCAAACATGTGCATGTAGGGTTTGTGGTTTGTGCCCGGAGAGGAGATCCATGGAACCGCATGACGCAAGTGCTTTTGTGGCACAAACACACGCGTTTGGAGTTGCTGGCTTTGTTTCAAATCGCCTGAGACCTCCTCTGCAGCCAAGCATTCATCTGCACGATCCTTCACCAAAAAAAAAACGAGGCAGGTGTTCCAAAGAAATTTCACAGCGTGCGTGACAAGACCTTGGGTGCCCCACGCATTCGGACAGCTCAAAAAGCTGGATTTGGCTTTCCTGTCAGAACTAGTGTGGATGCTTGCGGGGGCTGGGAGACATGGGGCATTTCTGGTTTCGCCGAAGATTGGCTCCTTGCGCCTCAGGCCAAATAGCAGGATTAGAAAAAACACTGTGCAGGACTTGGGGCAAGCCCCGAGCCAAAACTTCTGAGAGTGTTGAGGGGAAGAGCCAAGAGTCAGAAAGCGTGTTTGGGGACCCAAAAATAATGTTGCTTTCTGCGTGGGAGGGGCGCAAAAACTGTGTGGCTGCAGCGGCCTCGTCTCGGCTCGTCACAGCCTCGTCAACATCTAAGAGAACCTTGATGGGGCCCCATCGCTCGGCTAAAAGAAGCTCGTGGCCATTGCCCCGATGATGCCACTCTTTTAGCACTGAGAGGCAGAGGTATGTGTCTGCAGGGGCGACCGAGCATTGGGTGTTGCTTGTGGTCTCCCTTTGAACCAAGCTGAAAAGGATTCCCTCAAGTAGGCACACACCCATTTCGCGTGCAGTAAGCATCACCGGATGCGAGAAGCCAGGGAAAGTCTCAAAGCAACCACACACACACACACACAACAAACTTGCTTTGCACGAACCCGAACAACCAAAAAAGCAACACAGTTAAGTCCTGCGGGGAAGTCCTCACACACAACTGCATCGAAGCACTTGCCTTCAACATGAACAAGCACTTACGAGCATCCAAATGTTTCGTGGCTCGCGCCGCTTCAAAGCCGAAGCTTGAGAGGCGTGCATCAGCATCTGCCAAGAGCGGCTATTCCGAATGAAACAAGGCTACAAAACAACAAAACCTTACAACTTCCCTGTAACCACAATGGTACCAGCTGTGTAAACCTCGCCACTTCTCGCACGTGGCACACTGCAGCAGGAACGGCAGACTGGGCGGGCGGAAGCCGGCCACTTGCTCAAAAACCCTGCCGCCTTCTTAGAACACAAAACAATCAAACAACTGGCAACACGGCCGCTTGTCGAACCAACAAGCTTGGCAGTGTTGCTAGAGAAGGCGCAGTGTTGAAAAGCACAAACCTTGCCTGAGGGTCTGGGGCACGTCAATCGACGGTTGCGCAGGGGAGTTGCTGAAGGCGGTCCTGCAAACCAGGATTAACCTGTGCGGTGGTTCCAGTCGGCGCATGTTGATTGGTGAACAGCTCCACCTTTCGCGCTGTGATGTCTTCGAACTTTTGCAGTGGTCGTGCGGGGTTACCCCCCTCGGCATCTGGGTCCCACCTAGCTTGCCCCGGAGGTCAGCTGCCGTGGATGGGAGGCAACCTCGATGCCCAAGAAGGGGTCGACGCAGCAATGCGTTGGCAGGAGATGATCCTCTCCAACACCAATTTAACTTGTGTCTTGACACCACGTCGGCCAAGCCTGGCGGCTGAAGCCTTACAAGCGGGCATCATCTACGGGTCTGACCATGTTAAATTGCCCAGTCTTTCCGGAGAAGGCCTTGCTTTCCGTTGTTATTCTGCTGTTCTCTCTTTTAAGGAGAGCAAGGCCAGCTTCTTGCAAGAAGGGCGTGCGTGCCTGGCTTGGTAATGGCCCGTGTTCAGTTGCCTCTTACTGGCTTGCCCAAGACAGTGATGCTTGTTTGGGTGCGTCGTCAGTGAAATGGTGTGGTTGAGACACGAATTTCTTGGGTGGCCTGCCGTTTGTCTGGGCTCTGAATTTGTTCACTTTCATGATTATCCTGGCTACCCCAATCTTTAAGTTTTGCTGCTTTTTGCGTTTATCTGATTACTTGCGGATTCTTTCCATGCGTTCTATTTTTGTTAAGGTCGATGTGGACTGCTTGTGTGTTCTGGCGCACTGCGGGGTTGTTTTCTCCGCCTATCGAAGAAAAACCGGCACATCATCCGGAAAAAGACACTGTATGCCCTCCAGCAAGGAATCCAGAAAGGGAAACAACTTTGCAGACGCCAGAATGTTGTCCTGCGCCAAGAATGCACACACCCCATGCGCCGTTCAACCTGTCTGCTTCTGCCGAAACGAGCAAGCCTGAGACAACGCGTACATCCACGGCTTCAATCAGCAAGAAAGATGATCAACCCCCTGACAACGCACCCAAACAAACATCAATGTAGGTAGACTGATCTACTGTCTTGCTAAAGGTCTGTTGCACTGCTCCTAGCTTGAACTTATACAACCCCAACAAAGCCGAACGACAAGGACGCACACCTTTTTGAGGGGTTGCTTGGAATGTCGCACCAGGGCACGTGGTACCTGGTCACAGGGGCTGAAGTCCCACCTGGTTACAGGCCAGGTTTTCCCCCTTCGTGAAACGACCGCGGGTCAAGTAGCCAGGCCGGACTGCGGGGACAGGGCCGAGTCCTAACCTAGGAAGTGCACAGATTCGAAACAATTACAGCTAGTCCTTTGGTACGTTTCATGTTAGATGCTAGGAGCAAAATCCCAACAAAGAACGACAAGGATGCGGCAGGGGGCGAGGTTTTCCCCTTGTGGGTTTGCTGGTGCTTGGAATTTGCGGAAGTCCTATGGTGCGCCAGCAACCTCCAGGGTCTCGGATGGCAAGGTTTCCTTGTTCAAGCATGCCGCAGGCGGAGCCACATTTGACATCTTACTTGCAAGCCTTTTAACAGGCAAGCGCGCAAAACACTCGAACTGCAGTGGGTTGCTCATCTGGGCCACCAGGATTGCACTTGAGGTCGTCGCTAGCGCCTTTGTATTCAGACCTTAATATCCATGCATTCCACACCACCGCAGAGAACTCCAGTTTAACCAACTTATTCGACATGAGCTGGCAGTGTGGGCAAAGTTGATTTTCCAGCCGCACTTGTTTTTTCAAGAGATCGGCGCTGCGATGGCAGAACAACCACTATGGCAAACGTCTCTGGCGCAATCTCACGGATGAGTGCACGCAAAACAGGCCGTGCGATTGCCATGGGGCGGAGTGCAAGGCAGAGCCGGCAAAGGCTCTTCTGCCCGATGCCGGCCAAGGATCTGGGCCGTTTCACCTAAATTTTCTGCGGTCCATTGCTGAGTGCTTTGAGCAACTCAATATGGCACACACGTGAGCGAAAAGGCCTTCATGTACAAGGCTGAGAAGGTGTGTAGAAGGCTTTGTGTCCGAATCCAGCAATTCACCCGAATTGGTCTTAAATGTATCCAATAAGGCTGGTGACGCCTTTCTCAGGCGCGGCCGCAACACTGGAAATCTGGGTCTTCGATGTTGTTTGCGGTCCAGGAAGGCTGCAGCTCTGCAATTGTTGGGAAGGCGAAGGCAAACTACCAGGACAACGGACACACAAGCATCTGTCGATATCATGGAGTTTGTCCCTATCCACGTGCCCTCAGGGTGGAAAAACCTAAGGGCAGGGTTGATGGAGAGGGACAGCTGCGGATGCACGGCAAGCAAATCAAAGCGGTGCGGGGGCAGACAAGGCAGTGCGTCGCGCGCGCCTGGATCCCGCACCTGAGTCGATTTACTTCGAAAAGTATGAGAGCACCTGGTTTTCTCGCCCAGTAGCGCAAGGCATGCTATCTGCAAAGTTGCATGTCTGGCTGAATTTGCTGCACTGGTATGAGTGATTCTTGAGGCGCAAGCCACAAACAAGCAGTCTGTATTGAATTGGCTTGGGCATCGATGACTGCATGCACTGATCCCAAGGCGGACTCCCACGACTTTTTTCGATGCCGGCCCCTCCTTGACCGGCCGGGGAACGGTTGGCGGCGCGAGGGGGCGCAGTTGGTGACTAGAGGGGGCAATCGGCTCAAGCAAAACCAGAGGCTCCAGGCCATCGCCTCTTGGCCCTCCTGTAGCCGTGACGACATCGAGGCAGCCGTCAGAGGCGACCAAATTCAACACCCAACAAGACAATGCTGAAGGCTTCGCTTGTCCAAATCTAACGCTATGCGCGTACAAGGCGCCAAGAAGTCCAACGGAAGGGCGGCGGTTTGGGCAAAGGGGCCGGTGGGCTGGTCAGCACTCGGGGACCGGGAGACGGGAGCCTGAAAGGTCAAGAGGGCGCTGGTCGGGCCAGTTGGGGTAAGGTTGCAACCTGCGCTCGTTGTGTGATTTCCTCAGGGCTCGGAAACTTGAAGGCTTGGCCTTCAAACTCAAACACAAGAAAACTCTTGAAAATAATACAAGAAGAGCTGAAGTTGTCTCAACTAAGGACCTCCACTCTCGTAACCTGACAGTAGAAGAAAAAAATAGTTAGCAGCCACCAACTGAAAACTTGCCAACTCTGTCCGTACCAGATCACCGCGAAAGTGCTTCACCAGTCACAGGCGAAAATAAAGTTACGCCGACGTCAGGCAATGAAAACCCAAATGCCACAGGTGTGGCAACAATCCAAGCGCAGAGTCAAAGCAATGCTGAGTGATGCAGCGTTAGCGGGATACTCGGCGGGATCAACTGGCGAGCCGCTCTGGCGGGATACTCGGTGGGATCCACTGGCAAGCCGCTCTGGCGGGATATTAGGCGGGATCCATTGGCGAGCCGCTCTGACGGCATATTGGGCCGGCTGCTCTGACGGGATACTCGACGAGATCTATTGGCAAGCAACTCCTCGATGGGCTCCATTGGCGAACTGCTCTAGCGGGATACTCAGCGAGCTGCTCTATCTAGCGACCCCTTCCAATCGGGTGGGGAAATGTTTCAAATTATGTATTTATTTTTTATTTTATTATATATATATATATATGTAATATGTAATTAAGATGTAATTAAAATAAACATATATATTAAAATCACCATATATTTATAATATAACTAAAATTTTAGATATATTAACTAAATATTATAATTAATAATAAAATACTTAACAAAATTTAAATAAATGTATCCCATTATATATTCAAGCTAGTTTAATATATATATATATACTTATTTATTTGTTTATTAAAAAGTATTAAATGATAGTTTATAAATTTATGTTTATTAAAACAAATCACAAATGATACTTCTTTATATCAAATAGTTTAATTCATTCAATAATATATGTTGCCCCAAATTCCCAATACCCTCTTTGTTTTCAATAATCTAATTGATCCAATCAGATAGTATTTCAGTATTTCAGAAATTAAGTCTTATTTATGCTCAACAAAGCGGCAATCCATCTGTCGGAAGTGTGCTAACGCTATCAGCAAGTAGCACATTCAGATCCCCGCATTGTCATTGCGCATCGTGCAATAAGCCTGTAGCAGCGCTGTTTCAAATAGATGGTCTCAAATTACGGCGATTTCATCCAGCCTTGCCATTGGATGCTGTTCGAAGTTGAAGCAGAGCCCAACGAGTGACTGCTGAGCTGGTGCGTCAAAACCTGCTCTTCCTCTTGGACATGATCATTTCCTTGTTGACGGGCATCCGTGCTGTCAAAATGGAAGGAAGACTGGCATTTCCCACAAACTATATGATCACATCCGCTTATCTTCTGGTACGGGTAATTGCACTTTGGACACACTCGCACATTGCCCTCCTCATGGAGCTTCTTCATGGTTTGCAGCCTTTGTTCCATGTCACGACGCTCACTCTCTTTTGCTTCTTTGAGCTGCTGCTCCAGGAAGAGGACGCAGTCTGGCTGCTCAGGATGGCTTCTTGAATCACACTGCGTGCAAAACAAGATCTTGCACTTCTCGCAGCTTGCGCTGCGCTCATCCAACCTGCTGCAAGCAAGATTTCCACACCCTTGGGGGCAAGCCACTTTGGAATCCCTTGGCTCAATACGACGTTGAGTGCAGCGCTTCTGATAAAGACGAGCCACCTCCTGCTGCCCTGCCATTGCGCCTTTGTGCCACAAAACCAACAGAAGCGAACAACATAGGTCTCCCAGGCAATTCTCTTTACATAGCCATCACGTATTAAAGCACAAAAGGTAGACAACGAACATACCCAAAAAAAAACAGGCTTTTTTCCGAGCAGCAAAAAGAGTCAACTTCATCTTGCAGAAGCTCATGGCTGCACCCTTCAGCCGGACAGAAAGCAGGAAGGTTTTGATCTGCCTTTGCTTTCACATGCCCAGCCAAGCACCCAGCGCAAAAGATGGCATGGCCGCAAAATAGCGTGAAGCTGGGGCCATTCTCCTTGAAGCAAATGCAGCACTCTGACAAAGGCTTGTGCTCAGAAGGTGTCGGCACAAATTCCCAAGACTTGAGTTCTGCCTCCATCTTCATTTCCTTGGCCAAAGAGTGGGCTTTCTCACGCTGTTTTTGGGTCCGTGCCAACAATCTGCCTGCGTCGAACTGGTCATTCTTGTTCTGCTTCATGAAGTCAATAATCCGCCCCTCCTTCTCCTGCAGCACTTTGCGTGTCTCTTGCAAGTCCTCCTTCATCTCCTCGGAGGCGACCTGGCTCTTCTCCAGAAACTCCTCATAAGCTGCGAGATCTACTGAGATACGGTCAAGATCTTGGCTGTACTGACTCTTTAGGGCTGCCGCAGCCATCTCCTGCAACTGGTCACGGCTTGATTGCACGGCGCCTCGCACGTGGCTCATCTGGCTGTCGAAGCTTTCAAGCTGAGATTGCAAGCCTTTCAATGCATCCTGCACTTTTGAGCGGTAATCATCAGCCAGCAAGCTGGCTTTCACTTGAAAAATATTCTGCGTCTCCTCCTCAAATGTCTTCAAATCATTGTCAAAGGACTGCGTCTCAACTTGGTGCTTCTTCAATTCCACCTTCACAAGCTTGATGCTCGTCTCAATCACGGTCATGGTTAACGTTTGATGCTCCTTCTGGCCCTTGCTCTCGTCGTCCATCTTCTGAAGCTGTTCCTTCACTTGCGAGATGCGGCTGACACATTTCTCAACTGTGACCATGTGCTGGGAGATCGTGTCATACACCTGGAGCGGTTGCAAGCCTGCCCGCGCAGCACGCTCGGCCCTCAAGACCTGCGACAACCTCTGCAGGATATTCTCGTCAACATCAGAAGACTGCAGGTTCAGCAAATAAAAGAACAGGTAACAGCTCTTTTTCTTTGCCCTGCTTCGCGTGTCTGACACTGCCTCGCTCACTTTGTTCCATGTCCCGTCTGACACTTCGTTCAAGCCATCCGTGATCACCACGCAGCTCGTCTTCCGCATTTCCAGCTTAGAACGTGCAGGCACCCGATCGAGGAGAGCATTGATCTCCTGTAAGTAGCGAAGCAAAGCAGCTGGAATGTCAGTGCCTGAATGCGATGGGATGAACAAGGACTTTACCGTCTTCTCAAATTCTTCTTTGTCCCTTTTCGAGCTCATTCCTGACACTGGAACGACAAGATAAGGCTCGGTAGTAAATGCCATCATGCCCACTGCGTTGGCATCCGTGCTTGCGACAAACTGCTTGCAGATTTGCTCCTTTGCTGTAGCGAGCTTGGCATGCATAGATCCAGAAACATCCATCAACGGGAAGAGCAAAGAAGCCTTCCCGGACATGTCCGGACCTGGCAAAATGGGCACGTGCAACGCCTCCTTAAACGCAGTATTTCCTCTGTAGGCTGGAGAGGCAAGAACTTGTGTCCTGCCGCGCTGTTGCCCGGAAATGCTGCCACCCATGGCGCCGCCTGCGTTGCCCGCACCTTGCACTTTTCCCTTTGAAGCAACCTCTCCCATGGCTCTAGTGCTTTCTCGTCTAAAACGCCTGCGATGAATGGAGCTATCAATGTATCAAACCAATGAAGGCAATCCGGCTACCCCCGCGCCTGCCTCAAGTTTCGTTATTGCGGCGCAGGTGCTTGGATTCCCCAATAAGCAAAAGTAATTAGTGCGTACAGCGCGCAAAGGCGCGTTTTCCCATTGCGTAATATCAAGTTGCCAACACAGACTGATTGGAAAAGCCAGCCAAGAACGTTTTCGTTAAAGGTCCCGCGCACTGCTCCTAGCCTCAAACCACAAAGAACCCAGAACCCAAAAGCCGACAGCAAGGCGCACACCTTTTTACCGGGTTGCTTGGGAAGGTGGCACCTTCCTAGGGCACTGAGGTGCACCTAGGACAAGGGGCGAGATGTTCCCCCCCCTGCGAAAAACAAGGTTGCAAGACAAGCGTGTCCTTGCGTTAAAATGCCAAGCGGGGGGCGTGGCAAGCGTGCCCACGCCCGCATCAATGGACCTGCGGGTCCAGAGACGCCAGCAGGGCCAGACCGCGGGTCTGGGCCCTGGTATGAAGCTGAGAGCGCGCTCCCAGTTCATGTCCGGAGGGCTCCCAGCGGGGAGGGCTGTCCGGTAGGCCTAAGCAAGCTTAGGGCTTAGAAGTGTCGAATGGGTGGGTTTCAAACGAATGCGAGTCCTAAACGTGAGCTTGAGGGCTAGGAGCACCAAATGGCGGCGGCGTAGGAGATTCACCCCCGACCTATGAAACACAAGAGGAAAAGAAAACCCTTAGCGTTAAAGGTCCCGCGCACTGCTCCTAGCCTCAAACCACAAAAAACCCAGAACCCAAAAGCCGACAGCAAGGCGCACACCTTTTTACCGGGTTGCTTGGGAAGGTGGCACTTTGCCAGGGCACTGCGGTGCACCTAGGGCAAGGGGCGAGATGTTCCCCTCCTTCAGTGCTTCCCAAGGCAACCCCGGTAACAGGCAATTAAGGCCCAGGCGCAAAAGTCCCCCTTTTCAGTGCGGGGTTGCACCTGCGTCGGGACGAAGCACAGGGACAGGCAATGCGAGGGCATTGCTGACCCCTTAATGCAGCGACTTTTATCAGTGCGTTTTCTGATGCTTGGAGTTTGGGCGCAAACTCGGCCATCGCAGCCAGGTACTCTGGCCGCGGAAAAGCCCCGCAGTGCGAAATGCAGAGGGCGAGCGCGCGCTGTCGAAAGCCATACTGGCTTTCAGGAGCTGGACGGCTAGCAAGCCATATGTCACACATGCCCGGCGGCTGCAGCCAGATGTTCTGGGCGCCATGGTGCCTCTGCGGGGCAGAGTGTGATGCCCTTCCAGCTTGTGCAGGGCCGGCAGGGCTGAAGCGCACGCGATTGGCAGGGCGGTGGGCGAAACGCGCAAGGCGATTCCTGCTCAAATCGTCTGCCCACTCATTGTAGCGCCCTGGCAGGTGAGTCGGTTGCAGAAGAACGTTTTTGGCATGCGCCCAAGAGGCAACAAGCTGCACCAAAATTTGCAAAGGCCAAGATGTTGTGAACATCTTGTTAATGCCTGCTTCTGCCGCCGAGTTGTCAGTGCCTGAGGGCACGCTAAAAGAGTAGTGCCCGCCTCCAATGTGGCTATGCGTAGCCTGGAGGAGCGCTAGCTGCGCTAGTGTTTCGAAGCACGCGATGTAACGCTGCGCAGGCTTGGAAAGGCAGGGCCACACTCGACGGACATCCTGCATAGTCCAGGTTTCTGCAAACCACACCATTTGCGAGGATGTGACTGCCCAACCACCTATGCCCACGATTTCCTCTTCAGCCTGCCAAGGCCTGCAATTGGGGTTGCTTTGCCAAAGGCTGTACGGGAGAGCGCTTGAGACACGACCCCAGCCATTCCAGGCAAGCTTGGCTGGCTTTGGAGTGGGCGGTGAAAGGGTTGTTGGGGTCCGCTATGCGAACCCACGTAGGCTTGCTGGTGCCCGGAATGCGCGGGATGTCGTCAAGGCAGTGCACGGCGCTGCCTGCGACCTCCAAAATTTTGGAACCGGCCGAAAGCCAAAGGCTAGGCAGGCCGCTGCCCATTCTTAAATCTTTCTTTAAAGGTTTTTGAAAGAGGGAACGAACCATAAGTTGCAGGTCGGCCCACTCAGACCAGAGGTGCCTCTGGAAATAACCGTGCAGAGGTTCTACAGCGTCTAGGGCATTAGCAAGTCGCCTTACACGGCCTCAATGACCTATTCGTGCCGCAGGACTTCTTGGCCCGTGCGACTGAGCAACTTACCAGAATTGTGGCTGGATGGAGTGCATGGAGCCTGGTGGGCTATGAAGGTCGGCGTACAGCGGCGCCATCCAGGATCGCAAATGCAGGGCTACGCTGGTGGCCCAGATGAGCAACCCAATGCATTGCTCCAGCGTTTTGCGAAGGACCTTTCTTTTGCCCAGGAGGGCCGCGATGAGCTCCTCTAGCTTGACCAGCTTGGTCTGCGTGAGTTGGATGGTATCGTGGGCGAAGTTAATCTCCCAACCGCACCACACCAGGCAATCTTGGAACTGTGCCTTTTTCCAGGAGATTGGCGCGGCTATAGCACAGAAGAAGAAAAAAGCCACCAGGGCGAACATCTCTGGCGCTTGGCACGGAGCAGGGCGCCTAGAAGATCATCCACAAACAGGAATGCCTTGCGCGGCTGCCACGCGAGCAGGCCGTGGACCTGGCGCAGAAAAACGGCAGACTCTGTAGTGATAGAGTCTGCCTTGGAAGGCGAATAGCAGAAGGCCGTGCTCGTCTGGGCAAACTTGGATCAATGCTGGCACCCAGGAAAGCTCCTGGCGTGTCACCCGCTTGGATGGGCCAATGCCAGGTCGGAAGCCATCGGAAGGCTAAGGCGTTCTGGCAGGTAACATCTAGTGTTCACCTGACACACCAAGCAAGGCTGATTGTTTTCAGCAAAGACCACATTCAATTTTCCAACCGCTACACCTAAGGGACATTTTTGCTGCGCCTCTGCTACCGTCAAGTCGGTGGCGACGACCCAATTATTAGAAACAAATTTGTTTATCTCAAAGGCTTTGTATTTCCGGCTCCTCTTCTGCTGTTTTCCAGTTGCCCTCGCACACTTCCAATTCGGGCAGTGCGGAGGCGTTGGGAGGCTTCGCCGGCCACTGCCGGCTACATGGCATAGGGCCTAAGGCGCCTGTAGGCACGCCTTCCTGCAGAAAAGGCAGCAAAGCCAGGTCTGGGCCCCCCCATGACTCTGCGAGTTGGCGCAGCAAGTGCAGACGGTGTGCTGTCCAGGGACTTGGAGTTCGGGGCGAATCTGAGTTCCCCTGGCTAACATGTGCTATTATGCGTGGCACCATGCTGCGCTCATGGAGCCAGCGAAGCCAGGGCACGGCTACGGCTTGGAGCGGGCGGTCGGGGTTCACCAGTCTGCAGTTGAATGCATGCCTGCACCGTCGCAGACAGGGAGGCACGGCGCGAGACTGGGCTGCGCTGGAAAGGCGCTGCGCAGCTGCAGCGCACGCTTCACGACCCCTGTTTTGGAAACCCTTCCTGCGCCCACTGCCGCCGGTTGGCATGCCAGTGTTTCTGGATACTCAGCAGTCAGAGTGCTGAGAAACACTCCATTTTTGACAACTCCAGCAATGCTTGTGTGCTTGTATGTGTGACTGCAACGTGCTGCCAGGGCTTGGATGCGAGGGCTATTGCATCCAAAGGCCCATGATTTTGCAAACGTTTTACCATGCTGACAGGCGTCAACCCATACAAGGCTACACTGATGCTCGCGGAGCACTTTGCAAGGCGGGGCCAGCATGATGAGGGCAATTAATCCCGACCAACACAGCTTGAGCAGGGCTTCGAAAACTGCGTTGTCGAGGATATCGTGTGCCTGGTTGCGGTCCAGGTCAAAAGGCTCGAAGCAATCAAAGCCCAGGTGCACGGCTGCTGCGGTGACCGGGGGAGCGCGGGAGGCGCAGCCTGGCTGCGCTGGATCGGCACATGGCTGAGGCGGCTCTGGCAGTGGAGTGCGCGCAAGGTAAGGCTGTGCCGGCGGAGGCAGCTGTGCCCGACCCTGCAGGATCCGGGCTGCATCACGTGCACTTGCTGCGATCCATAGCCGGATGCTTGAGTTGGCAATTCATGATGGCACACACGTGCGCAAACTGACACGAGTGAGGTGCATAGGCTGGTCTGATAGCGCTTGCATATCTCACGTCCCTTGAATGACGTGCACCAATCGGCCTTGGGCTTTGGCGTTTGGGAGGCTCGCGAGGCTCCTTTTGACTTGCCTTTTCTTCTTGCCTGGTCGGGAGGGCCGCGAGGGCCGTGCGGGCTCACTGGAATGCCGGCGCTCGCGCTTTGTGCCTCTGTCCCGAGGTGCTGAAGGGCGAGGGGGCGGCGCGATCGGAGCCTTGGCTATGTTGGGGCGCAGCTGTAAAAGGGCATGCGTGTCGTTGCGCATGTACGTCATCTCGTACAAGGCATCGTCCAGGCTCCACTGTTGTGTGAGCAAATCTGACAAGGCAGACCAGAGTTTTCTGTCTGCGGACAGCTCCGTCGTGGTAACTGTGCGGAGGCCCAGATTTGAGTCCGAAGGCTTTGAGATGTTTGAAACAATTCGTTAAAAAATTTCATTTCAGCTCAAATGTAGAGAATTTGCCATTTGGAGCTCCATCAAGTGTAGAGAACTGGTCATTTTAAGCTCCAGAAGCGATATTAGCTTTTCTTTGCTAGAGCTTGTATAAAGAAATTCATTTTAATTCAATGATTCTGGAGACAGTCCTGGAAGTTGCCGTTCGTTGGTAAATTTTGCATAAAACAAACTTTGTTTTTTAAATCAATTGTAGAGAACTTGGCCGTTCGTTGATAAATTTTGTATAAAAAAAACTTCGTTTTAATTCAATTGCAAAGAATTGGCAATTTGGAGCTCCAGAAGCAACATTTTGGAGACTGTCCTGGAAGTGGCCGTTCGTTCGTTGATAAATTTTGTATAAAAAAACTTTGTTTTAATTCAATTGTAGAGAATTTGCTATTTAGAGCTTCAGAAGCAACATTTTGAAGCT